TTAGATAGGAAATTTGAGTAAGTTCAAGAGATGATCTATGGTATTAATACAATGTGGTGACTAGAGTTAATAATACACTGTATTCTTGAAAAGTGCTAAGAGAGTGGATACAAAGTGTTCTCACCACAAAAAATGATAACTGTGAAGCAATGTATATGTCAGTTAGCTGTATTTAGTCATTCCACGATGTATTCAAAGCATCATGTTGTACACGGTGATGTATATAATATTATCTGTCCATTTAAAATAAATAAATAGAATTAATTGGATGGGATTGGTAAAATGTAAGGCAATAAATACTGCTATGGAATGATTTCACTTCCAGGGAAACTGAGCCCCATGGTGTACGTTCAGCACACCATCACAACCATGGCGGCCCCTTCAGGTCTGTCTCTGGGACAGCAAGATGGTCATGGGCTCAGGTATCTGTTAAAAGAAGAAGACTTAGAAACCCAAGATATCTATCAGAAACTGCTGGGCAAACTTCAGACTGCAATGAAAGAGGTGGAGATGTGTGTCTGTCAAATAGATGAGTAAGTATTTTGTACTGTACTTTTAAGTTTGCCTAATGAAACAGCTGTAGAAAATGTGACTTTTGAAAAATCCAGTCATTCCCTCTTTAGTTTTTGGAAATGTAGGAGATCTGTGCTGATCATATAGGTCCTCCACATTCCAACACCTTAAATGTGATTTTTAAAATGGCAAATAGATATAGATATATATTTTAAGCAAGCATTTGATACCAGGGAAGAGAATGACAAAATTCTGTCCTATATAAGAACACTAAATAAGTCTCAGTGTGGAAGTATTACCATGAAAAATATATTTGAAAAAGTACTAATTTTTGATGAAGATTTCCTTGTATCCTTTACAATTCAGGGCACAATGTTTGTTATATATGCACTCAATAGATACTCATGAAAGATGTAAAGTATAACAAATGAGCCCGGAATGGTGGGTAATGCCTTTAATCCCAGCACTTTGGGAGGCTAAGACAGGAGGATTGCTTAAGAGGCCAGGAGTTCAAAACCAGCCAGAGCAACATAGTGACTCTGTCTCTACAAAAAAAAAAAAAATTAGGTGGGCA